AATTTTAATAAATTTAGGGGTAGACGTTGAATTCCATTACATGTATGTAACAGCTTTGGTGTCCCCATCACCTGAGTAGTGTCCATTGTACCCTACAGTAAATTTTTCATCCCTCACCCCCTCCCTCCCTTCCCCATCTTGAGTCTCCAGTGTCCATTATGCCACTCCGTGTGCCCTTGTGTAGCCATAGTTTAGGTCCCCTTATAAGTGAGAACATGCAGCATTTATTTTCTGTTCCTGAGTTACTTCACTTAGAATGATGGCCTCCAGTGCCATCAGGAAGTGAACTTTTTGATACCTCACCTGCCATGTTTCTCTGCTTCAGAGGATGAGCCAATCTGTGAGTGAGTTGAACTGGTATCAGAGTTTAATGAGATTATGCTTTAGTGAGCTACTAGCTGGTTCTCAAGAACTTGAAGGCACTAATATTCCAAGTCACTCGTGGGGTGACCCACTGGATCCCGGCTTGCTTGGGACTTTCTTGATTCTAGTAGTTAAATCCCTAACCCCTGGATCTCCCTCAGTGCTGGACACACCAGGACAGCTGGTCCCCCTTAAGTCAGTTTTCATGTTTATGAAATCTCAATTAACAAAAATGATATATTTGGGTCAAGTTGCTTTAACTAAAACTAAATAAGCCACAATATCCTGAATCAGAGAGGGTAGGCAATTGGTGCAGAGATATTGGACCACCAAATTCACCATTAAGCCAGTGCAAATTCAAATGCTTTTAAGGAGCCAGGTAGGCAAAGTCATTAAAATGTCTACTATAAAACAATAGGCCATGCTACAACTGTAGTGTATTGGAATACAGAAGACCAAAGTAATGCTATTCAAATTTAAATTATCTTAAAGCCCTTCCGGGCCAAACCATGTCTACTGCCCTGATGAGGCCAGCAGAGTGCCCAGTTTTCAGCCATGTGGCAAAGGCTTTCCTCCTTGACAATTATATGCAGAGCTGGAGTGACCTTCGTCTGGCTAGAATTCTGGATACTAGACTGTAATGTGGTCTTAGCTTTACTAATGTTTCTGTTCAGGTTTCCAGGGAGCAGAAGATTATTAATAGAATTCAATGGATCCTCATCAACAGGTGAGTTAGTGATTAGGGAATGGGTAGGAGGAAAGGTGGGGTAGGAGAAAAGGTGGGGTGGGAGAGCTTAGTCTGAAGCTTTTTAGGCAAAGTGGATTTCAAGGAGCTCGAAGAGGTTTCCCTGACCCTTCGTCCTTTACCTGATGTCAGGAAGAAAGAGCCAGAGAGAGTCTATGGTGAAAAGAGCTGTTCTTTGGGATCTGCCAAGACAGAAACATCACTCTGGTCTAGGAGGATGGCCCAGGGTGCCAGATATGACCAGAAAAGCCTGGGCCAGGCACGTGGGCAGATAGCTGTTAAAGCCTAATTTAGTCCTCAAGCTGGGTTATGCCAAAAATAAGGGGTCAGAATCTGAGGTTGCCCTTCTGTGCCGTTTATATTTGGAGAATTCTACTCCCGGAATCAGCCTTCGCCTTCTCAGTGGCCGTCCGTGAGTGTGTTACTGGGAAAGGCAACTCGGGGAGACTGTGGCCGGAAGGAACATGCACTGGATGGAAAGCCTTTGGAGGTGGAGTTTCTCCATCCCTCTGTAAGTGATTCAATAAGGGCAAGTTCAGCCAGGGTTCTTAATGTAGGACTGCCATAGGCTGTATCTTGTCTCACACTAAGCTCCGGTCACCAAGTCAAAATCAACTTTTGCCATTTTTTTTTTGCAGTTGAGGATTAACACTGAAGGGAACAAGAGGGGACTGCCAAGCAAATAAAGCACGTAGCCATTGACCTTCAAATAAGCAAAGCTAAAATATATCTTTTGTCTTCCAGTGGGGAAATACTGTAAGGGGTAGTAGTACCTCTCAGGTTCCTGGGGAGATCAAGGCAGATTCGGGGAAAGATTCCCTCTCCACTTAGAGTGATCTTTTCTGGGTCCAGGTGGGCAATCTGTATCTGGAAACTCCTCTGAAAGCACTCAGGTACTCCAGGTAAGTAGTAAACCTTCAACACCTGCTCGTTGTGTGAACCGATAAAACCCTATGCAGTGGAAAAGACCAGAGAGAACTTTAAAATTTACAAACGGACTTCCACTTTTGGGAGTTGGGTGGACTAGATAATCCCAAAAGCTGACCGTGCTGGTGAGTCTCCACTCACACACCTCCCCCAGGACCCGTTCCTGTGAAGCAATAAGAAAATGACCAAGAAAACGACCAAAAAACAGGCAATACAGATAAGAAGACATTTCACAAAAGAAGAAAAACAAATAGCAGATAAAAACAGTAAAAAATGCTCACCCTTCCTAAGTCATCAGGGAAATGAAAACTAAGATCATAATAATTTTTTTAAGAAACCACAAGATTGGTAAAATTTACCAAATTTTGGTGAGAATGTGCATCAGAGGGACCTCATACACATCTGGTGGGGACGCCAATGGGAATAAGCAC